GTGCCACCAAGGGAATTCCCTACAGTAAACTTTAAAAAAATCTTTAAAAGCACGATTAAGCTTAATTACTGTTGGTAATTTCCCCCTTTTTTAAAAAACCAGAATCTCATCTGGTGAAAAAGATTAAAGACATCTTTTAAGTATGAATGTGAGTTGTTCTTATCTGAGAGTCATAAAGCTGGTTCATGAAAACCACTTATGAAAAGGTTCTGTTTATCAGAGACTTCCAAAGCAAACGATCAATCGAAGGAGAACGCGGCTGTTAAGATGCCAAAACCTCCAAGTTTAGCTCCACTATCAGCACTCGACGGATGAATCCCTGACTTCTTTCTCTAAGGGCAGTGCACTTACACTCGGACGCTAATCACCTAAAAGCTGCAACCCAAGCTTGGCTGGTCCAGGGCAAGTAAGCAGCTCCTTTAAACTGAGTCAGCAAAACCTTAAAAGGATTACTTGTCAATTGCAGTGCTACCCAGTTACATTACCTGTGGCCAATGTTTCCATCCAGGAAGAGTTGCTGATGTTCATTCTCTGTCCTCGGGATTTTACCGGAAGAACTTTATGCTTTAAATGTGACTGAAGTAAGTGCTGAAAAGGGCTATATGTCAGGAATAAACACTGCTCCTTAATTCTTTGAATTTTAATTTAAAACACAGATTCAGACACTAGAAGATTTGAGTTGGTTTGTCTTTAATTCATTTTCAATTCCCAGGATACACTTAGTAAAGTGTATCTGTACCTAAATATTGGTATCTTTAGTGACTCTTTCCAATGCCCCCCCCCAACAGATATTTTGCATTTCTAATTTCCTTGGTACAAAGGCAACCAATATGCATAATTGAACTGCAAATGGAAGCGTGCTTGCTACTTTAGTGGAATTAGAATTCAGTGAAGGCTATAAAAATATTAAACTTAATATCATATTACAGGAAGCGTAAGTATTTTTGATGGGCCCATAATTTTATCACTTCACCTGCTGTATCCGCTGGCAAACATGGTTTGGAGTATCAATGGAAAACCCCCTCATTATTAAACTGCAGTGTTAAAAACAAAAAAAAACCCACAACCACTAACAGCTTACCACAGACATTTTCAGAAATTATCTACCTTAAAAATATTTTCCCACCAGACAGTTCAGAGAACAGATTTCATTTTGTAAAGCTAGAACAAACAGAGAGACCCCCCCACTGCTTCAAGCAATTCATTAATTCAAAAAGTTCTATTTTCCTTGCATTTAAAATCTCTAGAGGAAAAAACCCAGTCTCCTCTTCTCCAGTCTCCATTTAAGTGTGCCTATCTTGCTGAGGTCCAGATTTGAATAATTCAAAACCGTCTCTGGCAGATGGTGCGTATCAAGGGGCAAGGGGCCAAAACCATGGCATTCTGGGCCAATTAATGCAAACACAAAGCACCCAGCACCCTCCCACCTACTGCCTGCCTCATCCAACAGGCGCAGATCCCAGAAGGGGCTGTCAGAAAGAGAGGCAAGAGGCACCTATCTAAAGCACAAAGAAAAGGAGTCAATCAGAGACCCGAGTGACCGGATCCCCAAACACTCCTTTGCGAAGTCCGCATGTTTTGCACCTACCGACACAAGAAGTTTAGCTTATACCTGTTTCCAACTGTAACTTTACCACCTGAGTTTATACAAGAGTTGTTGTTGTTGTTTTTTTTAAGGACCCAATGAGTGATGTGCCATCTTCTGAAGAAAATACATGACAGGTCAGCGTCTGGACTTTTGATGCATAATGTAAGGTCCTGCGAATATCAGATTAAGCTGACAGCTGAGAATAGTTTCACAGGGTGTGTCTGAAAGACATCTGACAGCTAGAAAGTCTCAGTCCCCCATCAAAACCCTGATCTGTGTGCCCTCAGACTTCAGTCTGTGTTGCCAGCTCCATGGGGAGATACCATCCCCCTCCTCCTCTTTCCCTTCCTCCTTGCCCCCCTCTCTCAAAGAATGATTTATAACCTTTCCTGTCAGCTAGCACATCCCAAGGGTTTTCAGAGATGGGAAAACAATCATGTACTAGTCACGTCCTTCTCAGGTCGCTGTGACATTCTATGTGGTAGGCAGGGCAACGCTGGCAGTATTTTCAGTGGATTTGATGACCTCCTTCTTATAGATTGTATTTGAAAATTTACTAGTGACTTTTCACTAGAAAACAAATGCATATTATAGAAAGAAGAAAAACAAAAATTTCTTCTTAAATTAGAAAAATTTCATAAATTAGTAAAATGTATAGAATTGATTTATTTCTAAAAAGGCAATTCAAATATGTGCGATCCACCCTCAACAGAAACTAGCCAGTTTTTGTCAAAGCTAGTGGAAGAAAAATGCAATCCCACTCTCGTACCACGCTTCCCGTTAAAATTCTTCAGCATTGATAAATACTCTGTGAGGCGGATACCATTCTCTCCACCTCACAAATGAGAAAACTGGAACCTGGGGTGGTTAGAGTATTGGCACAGGTCAGCCAACAGGCTAAACAGCAGGGTTGGGCTTCCCAGTTCAGGTTTCCGAAGCCCAGCTCTAACGCCCTCTGAGTAGAGCGGGTGCAAGCCCAGCTCAGCTGCGCGCTCGTGCGTGTGGGAAGGGAAGGCCAGCCTCCGAGCCCTCTGCGCTGCCCGGCCGCCGGGCGCCTCCTTCTCCTGAGGACAGTCTCTCTCACCCGCAGGAACCCGGGAACCCCATGTCCTCACCCAGATGCCATCACGTGGCTGCATTTTAACAGGACTCTTGGAAAAGTGCAGTGCTTTTACCCCAAGACACGAACGTCTAATAAATGATACAGCGGCCCCTCAACACGGAAAACTACAGCAAGTGGAGGCTGGTCTCCTCTGCTGACTGATGAGGCTGTCCCGAAAATGCAATAAAATCTGGCTTTACCCAGGTGCACCCCAAGCACTGAGACCGATACACACCAAATAAAAACAAAGGAGGCCTTTCTCATGTGTAAACATAATCTTGTCTCATTAGGAGGAAGGCCTGCAGACACATGGACATTTTGTTATTCAGTGGCTTTTTTCCCCAAGTACATGACATTTTGAGAGCCAAGGTATTTTGTTTTACATTCATTCGTAAGTGGCGCCATCCCCTAACACTGTTGAGGCAGTTCGGTGTCACCAAAGAGCCACTAGATCAGGACAGACACCCGGCTTCAAATACTAGCTCGGCCACTAATCACCCATGTGCCTGTAGGTATTCACGCCCACTCTCTGAACCTTACCTTCTCATCTGCAAAAGGAAGGCCACAACCACAAAATCTTGGTCTTCCTTAAGGAGGCAGACATAAATCAAAACAAATGCCCAGGGTTAGTTATTACTTTAAAAAAAACATTCCTCTGATGGGGGAGGGGTGAATCTTTCTGAAAGAGACACACATATACTCACACAGGTCTATACTTCATATTGGAAAGCACACCTACACTGTACAACTGCCTGTTGAGACTACTGAGAAAACGATGTTGCTGCCCCATGTTTACTGTGAAAACATCTAAGTCTCATCTACTGACCACCTTACTCAAATTTGACATGGGCAAGGAAATCAACAGGTAAAAAAGAAGTCAATTTAAAAAAGGGAATTAAAGATATCAGCTGCCCTCGATTTCAACGGAAAAACTGAAACCCTATGGATCCAAGGAACACCGAAATGCCAACATCCTGGGCCCCTTCCTTTACCAGCATGCTGCAGTTCAGAGAGTCTGGGCATCAGAGCCAAACAGGATGGTCCACACCTTGGCTCTGTCACTGGCCAGCTCTGTGAGCCTGTGGCCACTGGCCCCCTTCTTAGTACAATGGGGGTAACAGTGCATCCTGCACAGGGCAGATAACAGAAATTACATGATGACATGTGTGCAGGCCCAGCACAGAGGAGACCCTCAGTAAATGCTGGCTGCCACCCTCCTGATTTCTCCTGGATAATAACCTGATGCGAGAGTCCAAATCAGGTCTTGCAGCCTCAGGGACAAACACACAAGGGGACAGCTGGTGTGAGCGCACCATAATGAGAGAGACCAATGGATGTAGGGAACAAGAGTTTGTGGAAATGATCAGATAATGAAACACCTTATATCTTTCCAAAGAGGTGAGTCATTTTCTTTTAGGTGTCAAATGAATAGCCCAATGTACCACAATCAAAATCTGTCATGAAAAAAGCCAGCCAGGTACCCATTTCAAATGAGTAGTAGCTTCTAATGATGCAGAGCCTTCTGTGACAGTCTCCTGATACTGAAAGGATTAACACACACTCCCCCATAGCTCCTCCACAAATACAAAAAGCACTGTTGGACCCAGAAGTTCTAATGAGCTAAAAGTTTATTCCATTTCTAAAATACATTTAAACTCAAACCCATCACTTACATCTCCTTAATTCTGAAATCCAATTCTCAATTTGGGTACTCTACCAGCATCTTTTCAAAATTTGGACTTTGGAAAATATATGCCCTCTCAGACAGGAGGGGAAAAAACCCATCAGACATGCACAGAACTTGCCCCCTTGAATATATTCCAATTTCCTCAGTCTTCATCTCCCTTACCCTTTCACAATCAGTCAAGTGCAGTTACCAATCACTGGAAATGACATGAGCTTAATGTCAGAAATCATTTAGCTTAAATAAGAAAATAACTCCATTTAGCTTTCTCCCACAAAGTAAAATTAAGTTTGTTTAGCCCTTTTTTATTTACTGCCAAAGGGCAGATTTAATTTCAAGGGAGTGAAAACCAAACTCATTCTGAAGCAAAGTCTGAAGTTACCACTTTAATTTTGCTCTAACTATTGAGGCACGAAGGCTGTAAGCATTAAACTAAAGAGACTTTAATTATGGAAGAACAACAGGTGAGTGGGACCCACAGAGCTTTTTAATCAGAGGGCGGGGGCTTGTGGGGGAGAAAACGCCCATATTATTTTGCTATACTGCACATACAAGCTTTAAGAGATCCCACTACTTCTAGGGGGCCTTTTTAGCCCACCCTGTTGGCCTTCATTCTCAGAACTTACCAGATACATTAATAGAGGCCCCTGCGTCAATGATCCCACTGTTGGGCCTCACGCAGTACCTACGTGGTGCCGTGGTCTTCACTTTAAAACACACATTTCGGTCTGTCGGGTTGCCAAGCTTTAGGTTGGTGGTGACAACGTCGGTGAAGGGACCTGCGGAATGAGACAGAGACTGATTGGGGATCTCAGGAGGATCGTTTAGCAGAAAGACTGATTTATGGTCTGGGGTCAGGAGGGATGTGCAAATATGGTTAATCCAAGACCATCTCATTATGATGGAAAGGAGAGACCAGCTGAGGCTGACGCACTAACAATAACAGCTAACATTCACCAGGTTCTCACCACGCCACCAGGCACCTGGGCTAGTGAGTGTTCTGGCATACAGTGTCTCCCTCCGTGACACCTCACAACTCCATGATTACTGCCGGAGGAGAAAACTGAGGCTCGGGAGGACACACTGCCTGTCTAAAGTTTTCATGCTAGTTAGCGGTAGTTAGGATCTGGAACCAGGCAGCCTGAATCCAAGGCCAGTTCTTAACCTATGCTGAACACTGATTTCCACAATAACAAGATGAAATCTAACAGGGAGAATGTAAAGGACTAGCTAGACCTGGGTCCAAAATGATTATCAAAGGCAGAGTGTGCCAATAGTAGTAGAGAGGCAAGAAAGACGCTGAGGTGTTAATGGTCTATACACACAAACTGCCCCCACAGCAATACAGTGTCGCTGCAGAAAAGTTAACATCACCTTAGGCTACGGCAAGTTCAGAGTCCTGCTGGGCAGCCCACCCCTGAAACGTCACGTTCAGTTTTAACTACCCAGGGTACTGGGAAGATTGAAACAAAGTGCCCTGAGGGTATTTTTTATCATTATTATTTATTCATTTTCTACTTTATTAGATTTTTTAATTAAAAAAGTAAAACATGCTTCTTAAAACAAGCCAAATAATAAAGGATGTATAAAGAGGAAGTTAATAAGCTTTCCCTTGTCCCCTGAGGTAACTAATATTCACAACATGGGAGATGTTTCCACATCACGTATGCTTTCACAAGCAGTACACACATACATGAGTGAGATGGGGGGATTAACAAAAATGGGATCATAACCATTTACATTACTCTGAATCTTCTCCAACACCTGACCACTAGGGTTTATCAAGAAATCGGGGTGGGGGAGGGCGGGGGGGGGGCTGAGCTACGAGGTCTCTTAGGACCTCTTCAACCCCTTTTCAAATTCACATCTTTTCACTATGTAAATCAATGATGTCTTGTGTTTCCTCCGGGCAAGCTCTTTACCCCATCTTTACATTCACAGGAAGTAAGAGATGGGGTGGGGAGGTATGTGTGCTCCTGTGTTCACAAACTAAGAAACACATGAAGTTGGTTCATCTGCTCCCTAAGAAGATCCACAACCAAGATGTTTAAATCTGCGCCTTGAAAATTTTTCAATGAGACTCTAAGCTCCTGAGGACAAGAATGATACCTTACCAGTTTCTGTATCTCCAGCACTGTGCCTGGCATGGGGTAAAAGGGTGTGTGTGGAGAGAGGGGGCAGGGAGAGAGAGAGACAGAGACAGAGACTGACTGAGAGTCACTCACCAAGGAGGAAAAAGTACCTCGTGGATTACCACTAGCAAAATTAAAATCTCAGGCTGCTTTCTCGCCTCTGGAGGTGCTCTGGGCATGAAAAATCAATCTGATATGGGCTTAACAAATATAAATTAAGAAATCAATAACGGTGAAAAGAAAGAAAGGAAAAGGGACTCAATTCCAATAAAATAAACTACAGCCAGTTCCGCTAGAAAGCTTATTTTGAAAACGTGAATCTGTTTCAATGTGATTGATGTGCATATTACGGGGACAATCTGAGCATAAAATGAATTTCACATTTGCTTATGTGTGATTTTGTCTGCAAGAAACGCTAAGGGATCACAGAAAACTGCACCCAGCTGCACCGAGTGGCACAGAAATACACAAAATACACAACTACACACACCTCAATCGCCCACCAGCACCTCCGTTCACCGTGTGGGACAGGGGCCACACCCATCCTTACCTGGTGTCACCTTCCCTGTGATTTCGGGTAACCCTCCTTCCTCCACTTCAGTACCTCACAAACTGCAACTCTTCCAACGCCCACTTCCACAGGCAAACTTCAGGTCTTTTTCAAGGTAAAGTGCCATATTTATTATGGTATGTATATATTTCCGAGCCATTTAATGTGCGCAAAACTGTGCTTCTGCTTGTATTAGGTTCCTATCTTTGTGTGTGTGTAACCAACAAAGGTTTTGAGTGTTACGCACCTAACCTCGTTTCCTCCTCTTAAGTCCTATGGTTTTTACTGTGCTATTTTGTATAGGATGGCGATTTTTAGGAACGCATATGCCGCGTTATAGCAGGACTGATTATACTACTAGATTATCTATTGTTTTGTAGTTACTTATACTAAAGGCTATTCCCATTCTTTGAGCAATGACACCTTCAAAAATGAAATGCCTAGGGAATTCCCCAGTGGTCCAGCAGTTAGGACTCCACGCTTCCACTGCCAAGGGCAAGGGTTCAATCCCAGGTCGGGGAACTAAGACCCCACAAGCCACGTGGCAGCCCCCCCCCCCCCCTGCCAAAAAAAAGAATGAAATGCCTAGACAGAATTTCTCCATCTGCTTACCTTTCCAATAAGCCCTGCCTTTGACCCCGTGGCAGTCAAGCTGGACGCCACAAGAGGGAGGCACTTTGTAGGTCCAACTGTGGCCAGGCATGGGAAAAGGCAAGGCCTCTGCTATCTATCTCATCCCGCCTACTGACTCCATCACACATAACCCTCTCTTGACATGCTAAGTCATCTCCTTACTGAGAACTAAAAGCTGACACACGAGGGTGGGTACCCTGTGGCCCAACAGGATTTTCAGCCACAGTGAGGGACAGCCAGATGCTGACCACGCTCCATCCTCGTATCAAATTTTTGGCCTCTCGGGAGAAAAAAGACACTTGGTGCTGAGGCAGTCTTTTCAGGATTATGGAGGCAGCAGCTCTCCACGACTCTACCCTTTTCCACTCTCCAACACATGCAGTCTGGCTCAGAATGAAGATGGAGAAAGTCTGATCTCCCATTAAGTCTCTTTGCTTGAAGTGGATATCACTTCAGCAATGGTAAAAGAAAAAAAGAACAACTAAACACAACTCAAGTTTTCTGGAGTCAAAGAAAGCAATTAAACAAACACACAAACACAAGCTCAGACAGACCTACACGGGCACAATCACGATGTACGTATATTCCTTGGCCCTCATGTAAAAGGTGCCAATCACAAGGACTTACATGCCAATCATATAAGCAGAGCTCCAGCTCGAATGACCCCACAATGCTGGGGGGGAAAGGAGAAGAAAACAGACAAAAACTGTGAGACACCTGAAAAGGGGTGCGCTTTCAAATATAAGGCCTACGGGGGAAAACAGTACTCTCACTGACAACCTGAAGGTGCTTCATAAACTAACAGGCCTTAAAGCTTTCCAGATATAAGCTTAAAGTTATTTGTTTCAACAAAATTCTGCCTCAAGAACATGGAAACATCTTCAGATCAGAATGCCAAGAATTCATAAGGGCCCACAAACACATCCAAAAACATAGAGGATTTTCTAAGGTGGTTTGAAGTATACTAAGCAGAAAATAGGGATGCTGGCAAGATTCCACTGTGATGAAATTAAGAGCACTTACTTGTTTCCAGCTCAGTTTCTCCCGTCTCTTCCTCCTCACCCTGCTTCATCAGAGAGGGGAGTTTAAGTGTGTTTATCCTTTACAATGACCTTTTCTTCTAGGTATTCCACAAAAATAAAGCAAATTTAACTGTAAACACTAATCTGCTTTTGGAAATTCCACCAGGTAACCCATTACATAGCAATCTAAATAATATTTCAACCTATAAGATTCACCTAAAAAGTAGTCTAAATTATTGAAAGACAAACGATATTTGTGTAATAAGCAGAATAGAATAAATATCCCAGATTTCTCCCTCAACACTCAATCCTGAACCATTAAGTGTTAGAGATTTCTTGGGCTTACATGGGTTTTATTTTTAAAAATCTGGAAGAAACTATACTAAAAATATATGCAAGTGAACAACATCATTGACAAAATAGCGAAGTCTTGTGTAAAAATCATGACATTTTGTAAAAACAGGCCAACCCTTCTCTCCTCTCCCTGGGCAATTTACTCTAAGAATTTTATTGAAAACAAATTCTAATTGATTTGAGTAATTATAGGAAATAAACCATGTTACTGTTCTCCTTTTCCCCTGTATTAATGAATCAGAATACACAAAAACCTCAATAAAAATGATGTAATAAGGGCTTATGAGAATCATTCATATTTTTACTAGTCATTTTCATTTCATAAAACTGCCATTTCCATTAAAGCATTATGTAAAAAATGGGATTTTACTATACCAACATGCATATTTATCACCAATGAACAGAGTCAATTTACAAATGAAATCTTCAAAAATTAGACTTTTTTCTTTTAAAAGATGAAAAAGATGATTTGGTATCTCTAGCACTGCAGCACCTCCTTTTAAGCATTTTTCTTTCTAATCTTCCTTATTTCAGATAGTTATACAGATATTAAGAATTAACATATAACATGTGAAAAAGGAGGTCCAAAACAATGAAGTAACATGAATCTGGGAGAAATTAGGAATATTCCTTAAAGTTTTAATTTTTCTCCTTTTTAACAATTTGAATAATGTTCTTCATACCCTATATTATGCATATTCATCTGTGAAAATTCTTGTGAGTCTGAGAGATGCTCATGAATAGCATTAACTAACGTGAATATGAATTCCATGACATATGCTCTAAAACATACTAAGGTAAAACTAAGCACAGTATAAACTATTTCTTCCACCCAGGTTTGGCTTATTGTCATTTTAAAGTGTGTATTTTAAAACAGTAAGAAGATCTAGAATTGGCCTTAGAAAGTAAATAATACGATGTCAGCAGAAATATGCACAGCATTAAGAGTAAAAGCAGGAACAGTTCATTTTTCAGTCTTACTTACAAAAATGGAGTCTCAGCATTATAAAGCGCTGGTTTTAAAGGTCAAGGAAAGAAGGTCATAATCCAGCAAACGAGATTCTCAACAGTAAGACATCAGGTTTCAG